GGTTTAGATGCTACTAGTTTGTGCCTAATTCCTGGTATCAAGATCCCTCCTCAGTTCAAAGTTCCCAATTTCGATAAGTTTAAGGGTACCACTTGCCTAATGACATACATCAAAGCATTTTGCAACAAGATGGCTCCTTATGCAGAAAATGACAAAATGCTAATGCATTTCTTCCAGGATATCCTCAATGGGGCATCTCTTGAATGGTATACACAACTTGAAAGGACCCACGTACAAACTTGGAGAGAACTAGCAGAGGCCTTTTTCAAGCACTACAAATATAACAGTGACATGGCTCCTTCCATAATTCAACTCCATAGCTTGACTTAGAAGACTGGAGAATTTTTCAGAAAGTATGCACGAAGATGGAGAGAACTAGCTGCTAGAGTTCAACCCCCCCTTTTGGAACGAGAGCTTGTGGATATGTTCATGAATAATCTGCAAGGTCCCTATCTAGATATGATGGTTGGATGTGTTTCCTTAGAATTTCCAGAGTTGGTTATCATAGGAGAATGAATTGAGAATGCTCTCAAGGTTGGTAAGATTAAGGATGTCGCTATTACTTTCGAGTTCCCAAAGCAGAAGAATGACGAAGAAACAAGTGCAGTCTCTAAGGACAAAGAGGAAGATCCCGCCTATGCTCAAGTTCAGGTTCCTTACTACCAAGCAGTAGTTATTCCTAATCAGTATGCTTCACAAATCTACGCTGCAACTATCGGCCAATCATCGGTTTAACCTGTTCAGTATGCTCCTCAACAACAGTATGCACTGCAACAGGGAAACCGTCAGCAAAACCATTAGCAACAACGTAGGCAAAAATAGAGAAGGCCAAGAAAAGTACACGACCTTATTCCTATGCCTCATATTCAATTTCTCTCTCACTTACTCTAAAATTCCTTGGTGGAGTTACAGCAGCTTGGGCCTCATCCTTTCCTTTATCCTTTGGGATATGAACCTAACGCCAATTGTAAGTACCATTATGGGGCACCTGGCCACACAATTAAAGGTTAAAATGCATTCAAAGGCAAAGTCCAGGATCTCATTGATTCAAGAGTAATCACGTTCACTACAGATGGTATGTGCATAAATTGAAGTCTTCCTTGATCCAATGAATGTCAAGACTGCAAAAAGCATCTTCTGAAGCAATGAGTCTATACATAGTCAAGCCTCCTCAATAGTGGCAATCTTTAGTTTCTTTTCTGCATGATCATTTTTAATCTTTCTTGTTTTGTTCAGTACTGATTGTATGCAAAACTTTTTTGTTTTTTTATGATAATCAATGCATTGAATATGTTTGTTTTGACGTAATCCATTTGTTTCACTCTTAAATGTCTTTCTTTGCCTTTTGATATTTAACTCTTTTTAAATAAAGTAAATAACTCTGGAGGGAGGATGATGAAAACATAATAACTAGAATATCAGATAGTATGCTTTCAAATAAATCTATGCTAACAATGTAAAAGCATTGTTTTAAATCCCCAAACACGGGAGATATAAGGGGGATATACCCTCGTCAACCCCTTCGAGCCTTGGAGTAGGAGTTTCTTTTCTATGTCAAAAACCCTTAATTTTTAACCTGGGGCAGGGTAGTCTTCAGATAATTTGATTGAGCATTCTAATTTCAAAAGGAAGTGAACATCCAAGGATCACCACACTTTATCCATCACACATCAGGAGGTCGAAAAGACGTGAAACCACAATGATTATCCCTCTTCCATCAAGGAACGAGACACTCGTAACACTTATATCTAGTCAAAGGACTCAAGGTCACACGACTAGTTCAAATCAAAAAGAAAAAAGAAATAAATCCTGCTAAGTCAAAAACTTGAAGGCAAGTGACTTAGGCAAAAGTTAGGGCATCCCACTAGACTGCAACTTCAAAATCGAAAAAAAATTCAAGAGAAAAAATTAGGGAAAAGAAAGGATTACAAAATAAAAATCCTCGGCAAAGAACAAAGTTGTGTGATCACACACCAAGAACAAAAGGTGAGTGACTTTCGTGTCCAAGAAACCTCAGTGGTTTCTAAACCATAGCAATCTTCTCTTGAGAGATGAGTGCTTGTATTGCGTTAGCTGAACACAGGACTGAATAACATCAAGGAGAATGGGTAGGTACAAATAAACTTTACGCCTTAAATCCTTTTTTCTGAAACCGCGAACCAGGCCATGTTATAACCCTTAAAAGTCCTAATTGAAGTAATGGTTATTTTAAAAGCATACGGTAACATGAGTACAGTAAACTAACTCCTATGAGACTTGCTAAAACGTTTGAGCTAGTATCATACCACCTTTCATAAAAACAAAAAATCAATGTTACAACATCATTTCAATAAAAAGTCTTTAAACTTCAAGACAAACATATGCTTTTCATTAGAATTTACATTCTCATAATAAACATCCTTTGCATGTAAACAAGTGTTTGACATCAAGGAAGCTTGCATGATGAGCATCAGATGAAGAGTTTAATCACCCTGAGGGGCAAGTTGTCTTCAAAACTCCATCGAGTAGAGAAGAGAAACATTGGAAAACTCGGTTGAGTAAGTTCAGTTAAGCTGGGGAAGTCAGGTCAAGATTCGAAGAATCTCTCAGAATGTCGATTAAACAAGGTCAGTCGCCCAAGCGCCATTGAAACCATATCCAACATCGGTTAGTCAGGGGAAATCACCCAAGCATCTCTGACGTTGGTTAGTCAGGGGAAATGTTTCAAGATTCATAACACTGGGACATGCTATCTTGATGGCACAAATCTCAGGAAGTCCTCTCGAGGAAAATTTCTTCAAAGGCCATACAGGCAGGGGCAAGGCAATATGCATGGTCATTTCCTCCTCTTCAAGGTTTGATAAAGTTAAGTCCAAGAGCAAGCTAAACAACTTGTGAGTTCGAAGAGAATGTCAGGAAGTCGGGATCATTATCCTCAGTAGAAGTTAGAGATTTAAGTCCATATTAGTGGCATTCCTCAGTTGAAGTCAGGACTCTATCCTTGGAGTTCCCAATAGATATCTTTGATTTGGAACATTGCATATAGTAATCATCATTACATAGTAATGAATTACAAAAATTTGTAGCATTTCCACAAAGGTGGAGCATTACACTAAAAAACTCAAAACATGCATACGAAGCATAAGCCAGTTACAATCTCCAACCAAGACAATATCACATCTTCGAAGAGAATATCATCTCCACAAGTCTTCAGTCATTTCGTGATAACCCTACTGTTGATTCATTTTCTAAACCATACAATTTTTTGTCTTCTGGTAACCTTACCATTTCCAGTAACCCTACTGATAGTTCATTTTCTAAACCATACAATTTGTTGTCTTCCGGTAACCTTAGTGTTGCCAATAACCTTATTATCTGCTTTGTTTCCTAATCACCTTATTTTCTGTCTCTCGATAACCCTACCGATGTCAGTGACCCTATTGTCTATTCACTTTCCAAATCACCTGATTTTTGTCTCCCGGTAACCCCTATTGATCTCAGCCATCCGATTGTTTGTCTCCCGGTAACCTTACCGATGAAAGTAACCCTATCGATGTCAATCCCCTGATTGCGTGTTTCTCGGTGACCTCACCAACGTTAATAACCTTACTGCTTTTTTCACTGTTGTCAATAACCACTATTTTGTATGTCCCTCGATGACCCCACCAACACTTATAACTTTACCACTTTGTTTACATCCCGGTGATGCCACCGTTGTCTTTAGCTTTATCAACTTGTTCAATTCCCGGTGACCTCATCGATACCAATAATTTCCTCTTTGTTTATCTCCCGGTGACCCCACCGATGTTAGTAACCAGGCTAATGTCTATTTTCCAACCATTTGATTACCCAGTAATCCTATTGATGTCTATTTTTTAACCACCAGGTTAAAATCATCTCAATAACCACGTTGGATGCTTCCTCAAAACCACCATGGTGACATTATCCCACTAACCTTACTGTTGATTCTTTACCCACCACCAATTTAACAATGATCCTTCTCCCATATTGGCACAATTGCTATGTTACAAGTAACCACCATGTCTCTATATTGGAATTGTGTCTACGTTACATGTTATCACCATTCAACCGCACTTATCCATCATAATCTTTCCACCCGAAACAATTTTTCCTTTCTGCAACACATATCACAAATAATAACACTTACACCATCTCTCTAGAAAAAATTTCAGGTCTTGGTATTTAATCTTCTTCTACCTCGAATGTTCGAAAGGCTTGCGCCAATCTCACCTTCGGGTTTAAGACGATTAAATATGGGAAGCTGTCACACCCCAAATTTGTCCTACTTTTTCACTTTTCTCTGGCTTAGGCTTTACATTTCATTCATACAAATTCATTTGCATAACATGCATTTATTCATAAAAGCACCTTGGTTCAAAATATCAATGATCGTGCAAGCCAAGGTTTTACAATAGTTTTGAGGCTTCTACATCCAATAAATGATTCATGTCTTAGAGGATCTCATTTTCATTAAAGGGTGATTCAAATGGGTTTCCTCATCAATCATGATTGGTGGAGCATGGAAGGGAATTAGAGTTTGATTTCTCCTCAATTGTTGGTTAACATATGGTGTATTATTCCTTGAGGATTTGTCTTGTGTGGCTTAAGGTGCAAGGCATTAAGGACTGGAAGTTCGATCAGGAGATGTTTAAAGGTTTAAATCAAGGAGTTCTTGTTATGGTGTTATCTTGGCCATTGTTTTCTTTGAGTTGTTTCTCGAGTGGTTAAGTTATTGATCAAGGTTGCACGGGATTAGGTTTGTTTCAAGAAAAATTGATTTGGACTCAAATTTGAATATCAAAATCAAGTCGTGGCGTAATTTCTTGTTTGGTTTGAAACTACGGTGCAAATTGAGGTGATTAAGGAGCTTGGTTTCTTAGAATCAAAACAAAGTGGTGAACTTGAGTTTCTGTTGAAGGATCATTCAAGATTCAAGATTCTACCAAACTTCTTATTCATGTTTAAGTTCTTGAAATTCAAGTAAAATGGTTCATTTTTCATTCATGGTTACAAGTTCCAAATGCCATAAGGATTCTGACCAAAGGCATCATCGAACTTTTCTTTGTATAATCCATCCAAGTTTGCATTAAAGTGAAAACATGAATTATAAATGGATTGCAATTTGGAAATGAGTAAAGGACTAAACTTTGTTTGATAAGAACTTTGCTTATTGCAAAGAGGAACATTGCAAAATTACACAAGATGCTTACAAAATACAATGTCACTACATCAAGTGAACTACAAGTATGACAAAGTATTTTATTTGAGTTGCTAATCCTAATTTTCATCATGAGCATATCTTTGTATCAAGCACCAATCTCCAATTCTAGGTTATAATTCTTCCCAAACCTATCACAAAACCAAAACCATGCTAAAAGCTAAATGCCTTGTTGTTTCCCCTATACCAACCACCAAAAAGAAAACTTGTGTTGTCCAATTATCTAAAAATATGTTGCTACAACCTGCATCCCTACTATCCATGTTTGTCCAAAACCTGAGATAATAAGCCAAAACCAGTTCGAATTACCCTGTCCAAATGCCAAATTACCTGCTCCAAACCTGTGCAAAAATATCACAAAAATGGAAAGACAAAGTTGTACCAAAAAAGTTACAAAACAATACACAAAATTTGTTCAAAACCTATCCCACATTCCCCCTAAACCTCACTTCATTCACTATAAAAATAGGCAGAAGAAAATAGAGAAATACATACAAAAATGCACACACACAAGAGGAGATAAAAAACACAGAAAATTTCAGAGAAATTCAACACAAAAATTTTATACCAACAATCTGAAAACCCTCATCTTCAACCTTTCTCATACCTCAACTCACCATATCTATGCTACTTCAAACCTTCTGCAGATCTCAGAATTATCCTACTTTAATCAACTTCTCCAGTTCGCCTTCATACTCTCATCACTCTCGAGCCCTATGAAACCTCCACTACCCTTCAGTTTAGTTTTCCAAATTTTTCAACACAAAAACTGAAGCAGTTATCTCTGATCCTCACGTATTCCTCTGATTTATCAACACACATACAACAACAATACCAAACAAGCACAAGAATACCGCAATATACAACAAAGGAAAAATCAAGAGAAGAAGAGGCGATAGAAGGAAGCAGAAATACCTAGCATTTGGTCTCGATCTCTGCCGAAATTCACTGTCACCTTCGTCGTCGAGGTAGGTTGTGCGTTACCTTTAAATCAATTTCTTGATAACATAATATAAGTCTTGGTTTGTAAAGTCTTTTTCCCGTACTGGTAGCTTGAGTTTATTCACCGTTAGCGTCTAATTTCAGATTTAGGGTTTAATTTCTTTTACTATGAGATGTAGATTTAGAGAGTTTTGTAGAATCAGAAGAAGCTAGAACATGTTTGAGAGAATAAAGAACGTGAGAGAGATAGAAAAATGGAAGGACAGAGAAATCGAGAGATTGAATAGAAATAGGATTTGTTGTTGTATTTTCGTTTAGCAGAAGAACAAAGAAATAGAATAGGAATGAGTGGAAGGAGTTCACGCGTGAGAGAGAGAGATTTTTACTTTATTTTTAATTGTGGTTTAAATTTGGAAATTAAAAAAATTAAGTGTTCATCTATTACTAAGGTAGAAGTTGCGGATCTCCAAAGAACTTAGGATTTAGTTGCTTCAAATTCCCTTTCACATTCCACTCTTGGTCCTCAACCCAATTTGTTTTTGTTAAAGCCCAATTTTGTTATTTGTTTTAGTTTTAATATTTCTGATTGGTTCTAATAACAAACTGAACATACTGGATGCAGTAGTGAAGCTTAGGGTTGCAAATTAAAGGTCCCTAGTTTAATACCCATCAGGACCATTCTTGACTTATTTTTCCATTTCCCTTTGTTTTCGACTATAAAAATTTATTCATAGTTTGTTCTATTATTATCATTTCTTCTTTAATATAAAAATTAAAAAAATATTAGAATTTAGTTTTATTTTTCCTTTATACTTTATTATTTTAACTTGATAAAAAAATCCCAAAATATTAGAATTAGGATATTTAGTTTCCTTTTGCTTTTATTATTTTGTTAACTTGAAAATCACAAAAACATTAGATTTTAATTTTATTTTATTTTGATGATTGTTTTGGTTGATCTTTAACATGTGCCCTTAAGATATTCATGAGACGATCGAAATTTTCGTTTTGATCATTTTGTGGTAGACTTTAGGATGAAACCTCTTATATGATAACTTTAAGATAGATTTTCTCCATTTTGAAATTAACTTTAAGTCCACCTTAGCATGATCACATTAGGGTTTTAGCTTCCCTTAGACTATTCTTTTGCATTCTTTCTAATTAAAACTAAAATTTCTTTCTTTAAATCAAAAATCCAAAAACGCTTAATCATTATTCAAACTCATTTCAAAATTAACAAAAACACAAACAAATTCAAACCTTTTTGCCTCTTGGCTTTTCTATTTAAACTTTTCAAAGGGGTATGTTATTTTCGTTCTACCGCGATATAGACTGGTCCTATTGCTAGAACGCGAACGTTAACATCGTCTATTAAAAAACACCAACAAACCAACATTTTTAGAAGAACTACAATGTTTTGGTTCCTTCACGGGATACGTAGGCACAAGGTTGCGAGACCCTCATAAACATAATAATAAATCTTTTCCTTTTTCCTTTTAACTCATTCATGCATTTCCCTTAATAAGTAATGTTTTAGATAGACACACCCCTAGAAACAAACAATCGAAGTGGATCTCATTAAGTACAACAGATGCGAGGGGTGCTAATACCTTCCCCTTGCATAATCGACTTTCGTACCCTTTATCTTAGTTGCAAGACCATCTTATCATTCCTTTTGGGATTTCTCGATATTTCCCATTATTTCAGGATAAATAAAGTTCAATGGTGGCTCTGTATTTTTTTCGGTTGCTTCAAATGTGCCACTCACGAGGATTCCTTAAAATTATCATGTAGCCATTTGTGTTATTCATTTGTTTTTATTTTCTTTCCTCGTTTAATAGTTTATGCTCATTGTTTGTTGCAGGTGAAATGCCAAACGCTCAGAAGCCATGGTTAGGATGGTAGCATCCAACAAATCAAGGTAGCTAGAGAAAAATCATCTTTAGAGAAGCGGTTTGGGAAGCACGGTTATGCCTCTAATTGGGTCAGGAAACTCCTCCTTTGCTCCTGCTGGCGAGCATCCTTCTCCACAACAAGTGAGTTTGGTTAGAAAGCGTCACCGAGTTAGGGAGGAAACCGTGGACTTGACCTTGGATAGGTCTCTGGACAAGTACAAATTGCTTCCTTGTTGGCTTCAAATGTGTTACTTTGAGGAGGTCCCTCTTTGAAATTCCCGCGGGCAGAGTCCCTGCATTTAGAGGGTCTGGATTAGTCGAGTAAGAGGAAAACTCTTGCTCAGGACGCCTCTACTATGATGAGGATCTGGGAAATGGAGGTCATTCATACTAAGGAGGGGACTCCTACCATCAAGGAGGCGAAGGATGTTTGTGCGGCCAACGTAGCTCTCTAGGAGAGAATAACCAAGTTGAAGTCCGAGAAAGTGGATCTGGAAAAGCGAAAGGTGGACGAGGTGGTCCAACTGAAGTCTGATAAGAAAAAGCTCAAGGATAGGGTCGCTGCTTTGGAAGCTGACGCGACCCTGGTTGAGGATGAGAATAAGGAGTTGAAGCTATTGAGAACATGTGCCTAGGTTGTTGCCCGCATCTGTCTGGCCGAGGAAGACTTTATCGAGATTGTCGAGGATAGCTTTAACAACGCGGTGAACAAGATTAAGATCGTGAACCCTAACGTCGAATTTAATATGTTTGGGACCGAGTTTCTTTGTAGTGTGGTTGATGGGCAAATTGTTGTCCCCGAGTTCCTATACCTTGGTGGAGATGGAGGGGGCGAGTAGTCAACCCAAGAAGAACGACCACCTTCTACCCAGTAGGTTATGTTATTGTGAATGACCAGTTGTACCCTAATTTTTTCCCCTAAAGTTCCTCTATCATCACATATCAAATTAATCACAACAAAATCACACTAGGGTTTAATTCTTCTCCCTATATTTAGGTTTTCTCATAAGGAGTCACCAAGCACCTTGATTTGTATATTGTGATCATATTCGTTTTGTATTGATTAACTTTTCACTAACAAATGCAATGAATGTTTTCTCTAATTGATGATACTATAGGTGAGGGCACAACACACTTCATCAAGTCTATTTATAGGTTCATGAGTTTATTTCCATGCCTTCTTCAGCAAAGCTTCATTGATATTCAAGCTTCATCATTGAGGATGCTTTAAATTAATATCATGACAAGGTTTATTATGATTTATCATGCCTCAATTTGTCAAAGAAAGTCAAAAGATACAAGGGTTGATTGAAGAAGTTTGACCTAATTAAACAAGTTCTTGATTCCTTGATCACAAGTGCATAGATCTCTCAATTGTTAATACATGTAAGCGGTTTTTGTTGCTATGGGTTCTTATCATCATCCACAACAACTTCTATTCACATGGAAAGAGTAATTGTGCAAGAAAGCTTGTAAAAATTGAAAGGGGTTTCCAAGTCATTTTGGTGCTCTAGAAGCTAGGGTTTTGAACTTCTAAGGGCTATATCTTGCTCATCTTTTGAAAATTTTGAGTGATTCCAAATACATTCTTCTCTTTAAAGGGTTATCAACTAATCACTTCAAGAGTTTCAAGGAAATTTTGTGTGGAAGATGCCTAATAATTGAGAAAGATAACAAGTCCACTAGATAGGCTATCAAATTCCCTTATGTGACTTCAAAAGATCATAACTTGGTCAACTTTTATCTTCTTAAGCCCATTCTTTTTCCATAATGATCTTAAGGATGTTAACTTTAACTCTTCTTTTATGTGAAAAGCTTGAAAATGAGTGGAAGATGCCCTAAGAACTCAAAAGATTATAGGTCACCTCATGAATTTTCACCAATTTTACAAGGCCATAACCTTCTCAGTACTTGGTATTTTTGAGTGATTCAAGTCTACTTCAAGCTAGCATCAATGATCAAATCTCAATTTTTGAGGAAAGCCTTGTTTGAACTCAAAACATTATAGGTCACTTTTGAAGAAAAACTTAGATTTTTCTTAGTATAAAAAGTCAACATCTTTTTCTCAACTTTGACTCATCACAACTCTTAGCTCAAGCATCTAATTGATCTCACTCTTTTCACATTATAAAGATTGTGACCTTATCTTTCAAATGCTTCAAGAAGTATGCCCTAAGATCACTTGAGTTGTGATTACCATTGGTTCAAAGTTGGTACCTTGAAACTGAAGTTTCACTTCAAGTCAGATTGCAAACTTTATAATTTGGCTTCTAATCACCAAATTTCCGCGCATTTTCCACTTAAACATGATTAGCAAATATGTTTGGATCATTTAGAATGATAAAACACATTGTTTGATTGAGTTTTGATGCACATGTGATCACACTTTCTGCATGATCATAGGTGTGCACGAACTCAAGGGAAATTGCATCATTCACCCCTCCTCTTGATTCCATTTACTTCTCCTATAAATACATGCTCCATTCCACTCATTTTCCCAAGCTTGAACAGCCAAAATCACTTTGTCAAACTCCCTCCATAACTAACTTTTCTGAGATATTGAATTCCTCTTTTCTCCATTTTTCAAATGAAATTCGTCATTGATCTTTCATCCTTGAACTTCACTGAAGCTAACAGAAGAAGAATCAAGCCTTGAGGTGCCCATAATCGTGCTAGCCAATTCCATTTATAGAGCAGCTTCATCTGACTTCGTTCAGGTAGTTTAAGGCAGCAAATCTTGTAACTCAAATTACTAGAATGGTCAATGATATTTACTGATGCTTGCTCTTAACTCAATTTTGGTGAAACAATGCATTTGATGCTTCTGATTTTTTATTTTAACATTTTTAAACATCTCTAGTTTTTTTCCAAATCGACTACGTTGTGCTTTATATAAATTTTTTGCGAGCATATGGTTGTGATCGTCTCAAGTAGAC